AGGAGATGGTCCCTTTAAAGTTCTTATGAAAGGGAACAATAATGCTTATATGCTAGAACTGCATGAGGGGTATGAAGTTAATTTCGCCTTTAATATTACTCTAACTTGATTCCTTTTTCTAGTGGAATTGATGATGAGGCATACCCTTCATATTTGAGGTCAAATCTTTTTTAATAGGAAGGGAACAATGACATACCTCTAGTCAAGGGACCTAGAACAAGAGCTATGGCTAAGAGGATACAAAAAGATTGGGCCTCCTTTGAGAATACTAGGCCCAAGTTGAAGTTCACATGGGTTAAGGAGGATGTGAAGACCTAACCTAGGACTTTGTGTTTGTAAATATTAAATTAGGTTTATTGTATAAGGTCTTGTATTATGGTTCAAATAGTATAGGAGTTTTCTTTGAGACTTATATTTGGGCCTTGTTAACATTTTAAACCTAGAAGGAAGTTTAGGCCTAGAAGGATTTGAGCCTTTGTAAGAGGAGACACATTTCTAGGGTTTAAATCCTAATTTGGTGCGCTAGCTTGGAGAGGAAGATAAAGTTTCTCATCTCCATTTATGTGCCTCATGGCACGTGAGACGTGTGACTTGCTTATGTGGCATGTCACACTTGTTGCATGTTCTTTTTTTTCTTCAAATTCAATTTCTAGACTAGGTTTTCCCTCTCATTTTTAGATACCAGTTTCTCTCCTTTACTTCTATAAATAGAGGAGCTTACCTTTTTTAAATGTATTCATGAATGTAATAGAGTTAATTTATTGAGATCACTTAACGCTTTACTTCTTGTGAATCATCTTAGGCTAGAGTATGATTTATGTCTTTCTGTGGCCTTCTTCCTCTAGTGACCTCACCTCTCTTCAAAAACTGTCATATTCACCTTAAACAATAAACCATTGAACCACATACTTCATTTTCTCCTCAATGCTTCCACTAGCTTCTTCATCCGAGAGCTCTTTCATCCAAAGTTGAGTCATCACATAATGATGGAACTTACCAATAATTTTGATTTGTGCTAAAATAACATAATTAAACTAAATGTAATTTTAATGTTTAATCTCCATATAAAGGTACTAGAATTAATTCTCTTACTACACCACACCTTTATATTGCACATAAACAAATGATATAGAACAAGTATGTTTTTTTCTTAATCATCAATAATATTGATTTCTAACTCTCCTATTAGAGAAAAAACTTTAGAGGTAAAACTTGTAACAAGGAGGGTAAGAATATTCGGTGAGATCTTAGAGAGGCAAAGTTCTTAATGGAGAACTGAGTGTACCTCAAGTTTGATTGAACCAGTATAAAAATTGTGTTTTATTAAAAGTTTTCATTGTTTTCTATGACATCGTCTAAAGAATATCTTTATTTTGAAATCCTTTGAAACATCATTAGACCTGCAAAAAGTTTTGGAAAACATTATTCACCCTCTCACTCCTTGTTTTTTATTTGCTTCATTGTCTTGTCCGATATGGGTGATGAATTCTTGAAGGACTAAAAAAGTGACACAACTTCATTATGTAATTATATTAATGTTTAAAGTTTGATATGATTTTGAATATGCGAAAGGTATGTATCATTAACATTGTCCAACATTTTTCAATTTTTGTTGGAATGATGATTTTCATCAAACACATAACATAATAGCTACATGCCAATGAATTTTTCTACTTGTTACACTAAACATGATAAGGAAAATAATCACACATTATGGTCATAAATTGACATGCTAAAATTAATAACTTATAGATGAGAAAAGTATTAGTCTTTGGATATATTACTTAAATTTGCATTGATATGGCCTTATCAACAACTTTAATTAAATTGGAAACATACGTTAATTAATAGTAATATATACTAAGTAGATAATATGAAAAATGTAACACTTATGTTTGTAGCATAAATTTCTCCACTTTCCCAATTAGAGAACAAAATCATACATTTATGCATTATCTCATGATAATGACAATTGATTTCTAATAAGACGTACCACAAATCATAAATAGTTAGAGGAATAAGCATTACTTCACTTTACTTCCACCAAAAGTTTAAGACAATTTGTCAAAATCCAAACTCAAATGTAAAAGGTATAAATAAGTATCCACCTTAGAAAAATGTATTACAACCATCTACTCTTAGTACTTATAATCTGATTCCATTTTCAACCGAAGATTCAATTAACTTTACAGCATTATTTATGTAGACCAAAATGTGTTATTTACTTATTTATTTAAGGTATCTATTTAGGAGAAAAAGTTTAATTGAAAAGAAATTAGTTGTGATCTTTTTCATGTTTAAAAGATAATAGTAATTTAGTACTCTATCATTATTGAACTGTTGGAGAAATGGGGTGATGTTATTTATGGATTTCCGTGTCTAATCCTTTGGTTTATAGAATAGCAATCACAGTCTCTTGCAGAGAAAACATCATATCTGTATCTAAATTTCAAGCTTCAAAGTCGAAATCATGAAACAATGACAAATTGAGGGCATCCCCTACTTTCATTATTATTTCTTATTTAATTAGTTTTAAAGAATTTTGATCGTATCTACACTAAATATTCTTCAAAGTCAAAATTCATATTAATTGGAACATAAATTATATATCTATATATACATATATATATATATATATATATATATATATATATATATAAATACTCATCGCATTCTCTTATAGTTTAAAATGGTGTTGTTGCTAGTTTCTCTGCTATAAACACCATCCAATAGTGTTTACTCAATTTATAGTTTTACAATATTACTGTAATAACCAAATAAAATTTATATCTTAAAAAATAATAAATACACAAATTCAGCCTATTAGATAACTGAATACAACTTTCATTAAATAAAGATTTCTAAACTTCTTTATACAAAAGGCCACAGTTTGTACTTTATTTGATTAGTATAGTCATTTTCGTGCATATGTCTTAGATATTCTTGATCATAACAAATCATATAACCCTGAAAAAAAAAGACAGGGTTGCAATGCAAATATGATATATAGATTTGCACAAAATTTTTTGTACATTACTTGTACACTACACAATGATAAAATAATATAAAAAATCACATTTTAAATAAACGTTACATTCTTTGACATATAATCTTTTTGTCTTTAGTTTCTTATGGTAAATGATATTATTGTATATGCAATTCTTAAAAATATTTTTTTACAACAGTATTTGAAGCTTGCAGTTATGACCCTGTAAACTACTCAAATCCTTTATTATATTGAGTTTATACATACATATATACACATATACATACATATATACACATATATATATATCTATGTATGTATATACATACATATACATATATATATATATATATACATATATATACATACATATATATATATATATATATATATATATATATATATATTACCAAGGCACTGAGGCTAAGGCTACCATACCACCTTATAAAACCAAATTCTACAAATTAAGAAAATTTGTCTGTATTTCTTTTTTGTAGACTAGCTTGTTTGTTACATATCATAGCATGTTCTTAGATTCTTCACAATTAAAACTGGCATATTCATAAGCTTTTTTTTTTTTTTAAATACACTCATTGGGATAAAACTATTTTAAGTGGGGGTGCATTTAAGGGACAAAAACGAAGAATTATTAAAATTGAAGAAAAAATTCTATATATTATCACGATGACAATGGGAATGAAGCTCAACCTTCCTACTCAGAGTTAATGAAGCATTTTTAAAACAAACAAATATGTGGCGGACAAATTTCAACTTTTATGAGTTTAAGAAAATATTAGAGTTGATAAGTATTCCAATTTGCCAATTTGGATACACTGTTTTCTACTGCATAATAACGTGCTAATACGTGTAATTACCACAAACGAATCCTATTCACAAGAACACTTTCTTGTATGATAGATACACATAATCTACGTTGCCATTTCAAAAATCTACTCGCAAGTTGCGAATCATAGGCTTATAGGTTACTGAAATAGAAGCTATTAGTAGAACAAGTTCGTGGACCATGCGTTATAAATTCATACATGCATATGCTTGAAGTTAGTATCACAATAGCGACAATAACAACAATAATGAATTTCATCTAACAATAATTACGTCGATCAAGGTCATGCAATAGAGCCAAAAAGTGTAAGAAAAACGAATAGGGAGTCCCTACATGCAAACAATTTCCATATAGGGAACAAGTCAGTAGTGATTAGAAGACAGGAAAAATCAAAAGGGTATGCAAAAAATTGCTTATGATATTTTCATATTCGTAAAGTAGCTAAAAAACAGATACAAAAGCCAAAGAGATTCGTTTGAAAAATAGTACGTGGTTGCATTCACACTTCTATTATTGTATATACGTTTTCATAAGAATACTGTCATAGAGATACAGAAAGGTCTACATTTTGCAGGTGGGGGTGAGAATGAAGGTTCTATATGCCTATATTTAACCCTTTGTGATGGAAAATGAAAGTTAGATATATAGATAGATAGATAGTGTGTGATTCATTATTTTAGTAGTATGGACAATTATTAAGTATATAAACATATATTGGATAGGAAAGTAATCAGAAAAGAACAAAAAAGGATCACCCACCAATTTGAATTTATGAGCTAAGCGAAAGTTTGGAAGCATTTGGTGGGTAGGACCCATCTCTGAAATCTTCTTCAAGGTGATGGAAAATAGAGAGAGATGAAGGGTTGGGTTTTTTGGTGAAGTTTTTAACATGCAAAGAACCTGAGAGGGTTTATGATGTTAACTACCATTCCTTTTGGTTTCAGACAGATCTGAGGGTCAAACTTTCCAACAAATTCCTATAAAATATATAATTTGGTTATAGAAATTTCGGTGAAAAAGACAAGAATGCCCCCCTCTATTTGAGGGGGAAGATCTATGGAGAGATGCAATGTGAAAAGCAGATTCCATTTTGATCATACGGTATAGGTGCAAATGAATAATATATATCATATAATAAGCAATTTGCAACAAGCTTTTCATTGTCCTCTTATAAATATGCTTCAACTTAGTACTATATTGTTTCAAGGCAGTATTTCCAAAACAATTAGCCATCACACCGAGAGAGAGAGAGAGAGAGAGAGAGAGAGAGATGGAACTTTATGATAATGATTTCTTGGAGGAATCAATGGCCCTAAGAAGAGAACCATGGGATACCAATCCGTGTTCACAAGAAAACCAGCTTTTCTCTAATGCTTGGAGTTTTGATTGTTTTGATCAAAACTATCAAGCTTTTCCTTCAAATTCTTTCTCTTTGCAAGAAGTGCCTCAGAGTTACAACTTCGACCACACCTTCAATGAAATCTACAGTTCCTTATTTAATGAGTTTTCTGCACCTCAGATTGTAGATTCATCTTATAGCACCCTCGATGCTTCACATATTAGCACCCCTTCATTTGTTCCTCATGAAGATTATCCATTGTCTTTGATAGAAGAAGAAGATCCGGGTTTGCTTGGGGAAGAGCTTCATTGTTTGGACCTTCAAGCAACATGCAAAATGGAGCCAAGCCATTCCCCTGAAATGCCTGTTTTCAACACAGATTCTTGTGTTGAAAGAAAGACTAGAGCAAAGAAGCTTCAGGGGCAGCCTTCCAAGAACCTAATGGCAGAGAGAAGAAGAAGGAAGAGATTAAACGACAGACTCTCCATGCTAAGATCAATTGTCCCAAAGATAAGTAAGGTATGAAGTGAGAATAAGTCATTATCATTACAAGAAGTATTCAAATGTTTGTCATATATGCAGCATAAGTGCTGATTTTCTTGCTGGAAAAATGCTTCTCGCAGATGGACAGAACAGCTATTCTTGGAGACACTATTGATTATATGAAAGAGCTCTTGGAAAAGATTAACACTTTGAAGCAAGAAATAGAGGTGGATTCCAACACTGCTACCATTTTCAAGGATTTAAAGCCAAACGAAATCTTAGTAAGAAATTCTCCCAAGGTATGTTCTATTTGGGGTTTTCAAAATTTGTTTTGGGGACTTAGCTTTGCAAACTAGGTTATGAAAGTAAAAGTTTCCTGGCACTCATTTTTTATTTTTTTTTTATGGATAAATATTAATGGCTAGCATTTTGTTAATTAGGGAGTTAAATCCACATTTTTTTCACTTTTTTTTTTCAAAATCACCAAGCTAATCTTATAACTCTCAAATTCACCAGCTAACCTTATATCTCTCAAGTATTAGCGACGGAAGTTGAATTCTAATAACACTAAGGCACCTCATAACTCCTTATATGCAACTCATACACATTAATTTGATCATATTACATAACTAACCCAGCAAGATTCTTTAAAGTGAAAATAGATATGATCATTGAAGAATCTCTATATTGATTTTGTGCAGTTTGATGTGGAGAGGAGAAATGCCAATACAAGGGTGGAGATCTGCTGTGCTGGGAAGCCAGGCTTGCTGCTGTCTACGGTAAACACATTGGAAACACTAGGCCTGGAGATCCAACAATGTGTTATTAGCTGTTTCAATGATTTCACAGTGCAAGCTTCTTGTTCAGAGGTATATCAGATATAGGGTTGAAATCAATAGAGAATACATGCTCTATTTTCTACTGGGTGCATTCTAAAGCTGAAATAGATATGAACTTGAGATTTTTTTTCTGAACTAACCACCTTCCTAAGATTAAAGAACAATCACTTTCAGATATTGAAATTTACTTGAAGGGTTATATTTTCCCAACAAATATTTGTTGTGATTCTTACATTCTTAAAGAACCATATAGTTTATCAGAAATTATATCCCTCCATAAGGATGGAATTGAAGAGAGAAAATCAAAGGCATTCTGTGGTGGTTTTGAAACTGTCTAAAAAACCTTGCTTGTATATATAGTTTTTGTGTTAGAATTCCTTTTTCGTTGAGCAATTGAGTAATGTTTTTGTTTTTCAATAGGAACTGCAGCAGAAGAAAATTCTGAGTTCAGAAGATATAAAACAAGCACTGTTTAGAAGTGCAGGATATGGAGGAAGATGTTTGTGAGAATAGAAGCTAGAGAAGTGCAAAATATCACAGCGAGTGCACTTTAGCTATGTAGGAAGAGTTTTTGAGTTTCTGATGATGATCCATTAATTTATAAGCCAAGTTAGCTGGATTTCTTTTTTCTTAATGTCTGATAATAATCGATTTCTTCAACAAGAACATGTTAACATGTTCATATCTTAATGTAGATTCCTATGAATCATGGTGATTGTTTGTTCTCTAACATCCTTAACAAAAACAACAGTCAAATATGGCACAAAAACAGACAGAACAAGTTAGAGAGATCAAAGTGTATAGAAGCTCATATTAACCATATAATTTTAAACCATGGTTAAGAACAATTAGTTAATCTTGATAATGAATGCATGATTATATAGAACTTGGGAATAATAAAATTATGAAAATTATGTATTGCACCTTGTTATTGGAATGGAGGATCAAGTCAAAGTGCAACTGCAACATTAATAAGAGAGTAAAGTTCCAGCTTTCTGTGTCTATTCCTTTCACATATTTCCTTTTTCAGTAGTAAGCAAAAAAATAACTTAATTGTAACAAAATAAAGCATTTTCAGTTTCCCATTTTGTAAAACTTTTATGCATAGAAAGTACAGACATTTTTAGCATGAAAAGAAAAGTACAGACATTTTCCTACAGATGATGTGACATTTTATGTTTAATGTCATTTCCTAAAAGCAAAGAACATGACAATTATAATTATTGAGTTACAGTTACATATACAGTGGCTTTAAATTGTTAAAGAAAGTTTTCTTTTTCATTTATTATTGAATTTAATTTACCTGTAGTTTCTCTATTTTTTTTATAAATATTTAATAAAAAAATTGCCTTGTTATTGCTTTAGTTTTATTATTAATAGACCATGGAAGAAAGATGAGTTATAATTAAATGTTTATGTAAAAGAGTTTATATTAACAATTATTAATTTGAAGGGACAAAATCTGTTCAGATAAAACGGCAGAAGATCACAACCCTTGATTGTGCAAATTATTTTTCTAAGAGAATTAATTTTGAGAATTATTTTCTTCAGCTTCTTAAACATGATTATAATTAAGTAATGCAAAAATTATATTATTAAGAAATTTCAAAAAGGCTATTAATTTTCTAAAATAATTTGGAGCAGAGAAACAAGTATAAAAAATGCTAATTATTGTCATAAAAATAAATATCACACAAAATGAAAATAATTATGTTAAGCATTACTGTCATATGAAGATTTTATTAAAAAAAGAAAAATATGAAAAAATTACATTAAACTATGATAAAAAAATATATCGCATACTCGTAAACTAAAAATTTATGATGAAAAAATTAAAAATATATATATACATAGATAAAAAAACAAGTAAATCAAACAACTGTTAAAAAATACCCACAATCATTTGTTCATTTATGTTATTATTAAGAAAGTAATACTGAAAAAGAGAAAAAGAAACTGAAGTTTTAGGTTTAAAGAAGTTTATTGGAAGAAGATATAAATAACTATGGTTCTCCTCAATCATGTGAATGGTGATCCACCACAGTCCACTGGGGTATCATCAAGGTCCCAATTTTTAAAAACCCAAATTTCTATACATATATCAAAAATGAAAATTATAGTTATTATTATATTATATATTTCATTAAATAAAATATATTACTATTAATATAAATTTCAATTAATTATAAGAAAATATCCATATCTAAGACAACAAGTCTTCATAATATGACATAGACTTGATTTATACGTTTAGTAATATTATAATAGAATAATTCAATAAAATCTTAAGCAAATATTACAGGAATATTTATTTTTAACGGTTGAAAAAGATATAAATTTTAAGAATACGAAAAATAATAGAATAACTAACTAAAACCTATAAAATACACCTCTCATTACATACTAATTTTCTAATTTTTTAATGTTGAGACTAAAAATTCTAAGAATCATAATATCAGGTATTTTTTTCTCTGATTTGGTAACATCTGATTTTCCAAAATGCTATTATTAGTATAAAAAATTGGATTTGACAGGAAATTGAATGTGATTTTGTTAAAGAGTCAATTTGAAAAGAAAACATTATAATGATACTTTCTATATATACACACAATCAAACTTTAAGAGTACATCAAAGAGTTAATTAGGATATCTAGTATTATTTATATGGTAGATCAAACAATTAGTTCTCTTAAAAGTATTTGAGCAATATAACACATATGATAAGATTTTTTTATTTTTTATTTAGCATTAATATTCTTAAATGATTTTATTATTAAGACTTGTATGGTACAAAAATCTTGAAACTTACCTAAAACCTGATAATTTTAATAATCTTAGTAATTAAATAATTGAAAGCCATTAGGTTTAACAATTGAATCCAAAAGGTCTTTTGATATACTGAATTCTTTGACCACATTTAGCTGTTTCCTAACGCATGAATACTTGTTTCCCTTATGCATGAATGATAAACAATATTGCACATAATGAACGAAGTTTTTAAAAAAGATTAGAATTGTTAAAATTCTTACACTATGCATAAAATAGATTTAATATAGCCTTATATTTTAAATTTCTATTAAAACTAATTTTTAATAATTGGAAAGATTTAGAAGATGACATTTTAAAAGTGATGGAGGTTTAAAAATAACGAGAGTTAATTATGTTAATATTAAAATATTTTAATATAAATAGTTTTGTTATGAACAAGTTTTATTATTTTAAAACACACATTCTCTATACTTTTTTAGAGGTTTTTTGACTTTTCTTAAGGGTTCTTCCTTTTTACTAATTGAAGAATCGAGACTATAAGATTGATCCTTGCGGCGAACTATTTAATTTGGATCGATCAGTTTCTTTGCTCAAGTAAGTTGAGTTTCACCTCTTTTTCTTTGTTTTTTTCTATTATTTATTGCATGTGAGTCTTTTCTCACTTGCATGCGTCTTTTTAGTCATTTTGTGAGTCTATGCTAATTAGTAATTTTAATGGTGTGTTTTGATTGTGTTTATGTTGTTCTTAGGTGTAGATAGAACATATTATGTGAGCTTAAAAGGGGTTTGAGATTCTCTTAATCAAGTTCGTCAGTCTCTGAAGTAAAGGAACTAATTATATTTATTTTTAGGTTATAGGTATCTTGAAATGTTTTTTTTATTATTGAGTGGTATGATGAATGTTTGATCTATTAATTTTGGTTTTGGATGTTTATCCTATGATTGAAAAACTTAGAATCTGATCAATTGAGTCAGTTAGTATGTGCTCTCACATTAAAAATTGTTTGTAACCCAAATACTAAGAAGAAAATACCAAATATAATCATTTGAACATCTTTCATTTTCCTAAATCACATAACTTTGATCTATTGATCACTAGTAAAAAAATGTTTTTTTAACTCGCCATATATGTCGCGGTTTCGTAAAAACCGAAGCATTTAAAGACGCGGTGGCAGTTTTGAAATTAAGATGAAATTATATGCTTCGAGTGTACAAAGAACAGAGACATAAAAAGTAAAAATCTGATACTGCTTCGGTTGATACAGGACCGAGGCATAAGGACCTGCACCTTTTCCCGTGCATGAGACACCTTTTCCAGTGCACAAGGCACCTTTTAAGCTAGGGCCTCGATTAATAGTAGAACCGAGGCATAAGGAGCTGCCTCTACTGCTGCCACCAAACCCTTCCATTATTACTACTATTCTACTGCTACCACCAAACCAAAACTCTTTCTCTTCTTCCTCCCTTCATTCTTTAAACAACCCTTCACCATCCCGCACACAACGGCTTTTCCCGTGCTGTCACTCCCCGTCCTTGACCCTAGCAACGCGGCGCCCGCGCCGGTCGTGGTGCCTCCGCCAGTCGTGGATTCTCTCGCCCCCGTGGGTTCCTTTCCCGACCACCGTCGCCTTCCGCGATCAAACCCAAATGGCCAGCTTTTCCAGAAATCGATGTCGGGCTTCGCAGCTTCGCACGATGGCGCCTGAAGTGGTTGTGGTGGTGGAGCTAGCGGCTTGAGGGAGCAGGTGGGGAGTGTGAATCGGTTGCGGGCAGTCTTGGATCCAAGGCGGTTGTGTAGAGGTTGGACTTCACCGGAGGCTGAAAAAATACTGAGAACAGAACCGAGGATGATGATAGCTGAAAAAAAAAAAAAAAAAAAAAAAAAAAAAAAAAAAAAAAAAAAAAAAAACATGCTATTGCCTCGGTTATCTAAGAACCGAGGCATAATCCTGTTTCATTTTACCCCAATTCTGAACCGAGGTATAAAGCCTACACCTTTTTACCTCGTCCATATATGCCTCGGTTGCAGAACCGATGCCTATAAGCAAAAATAACCAATGCCATATCCCCTTATTGCAGTAGTGGATATCTGATGCAATACGAAACAGTTGCAAGCTCAGCTTGTTGTTGACCGCTAGTTCATTGTGTAGGTCTGAAAGCATTTTAGCTTTAGACCGACAAGCATATGTGTTGTACTTCTAGGTGCATGAAAACGCGAATGCTCTTACCTTGAGCAGTAACATGATATAATATAGTTGAACACCTTATTTCACAGTAGGTTTGGAGCAATTTTGTTCCAGGATACGGAGTAGCATGATGTGTTTATTTACATCAACTAAGTTGTTTATGTGTTAACTATAATTTATTCCTTCTAACATCTTCATATTGTATGTATACGTTAGAATGTATGTCTGATATCTCAAGATCAATAATAACTTTTCGCTTTCTTCTTTGCATATCTCTTCTTTTCTGTATCATATGCTATACTCAACATGAACAATAACCAGACTACTGAAGATGTACAAATCCAATAATGGAACAGAATGAGCTTCCAAATTATTACTTTAAGAGTTCTTATGATGTATTATGTTTTACCAACTTTTGAATCTTACAAACTATTGTATTAGTATGATATTCATGTTAAATTCCTACACAACTATCCCACTAGTATAATATGTTTACTTCTGAAGATGTTACAATTTTAGTATAAATCAGAATCCAACGTTCATATATGTGAATTGATTCAAAGTGGAATTTACAAGTCCATCGTAAACAAAACCAAACTTATTGCATATTATAGTACTAATTAACTCTAGATCTGTCTTTAGTAATGAAGGGTACCTTCATATTATTTCAACTCCATAGTTATTCCATTTTCACGTTCTGCAATGAACTAAAAAAAGTTAAGATGAATACTTCCAACACGAGATGCCTGATCGAGGAGTAAAATAAAAGGAATAGTTGGATCCACGGAATATAATAACATGATTATTCTGCAGGTAAATCACTGTCTTAACCAATCATTTCTTTTGTTGGATTCTTTCTGCAAAATGGTTCTTATCTTTTAACCATATACTATATTTGGTGAGAATCTTTTGGACATGACCAACGAAGTGGTCTCAAACTTTGCAGAAACGAGTAATCTCAAGATTTGTGTCACATAAAGCCACCGAGAGAGTTAAAGCTCAGATATTTTTCCACCATAACCATGATTTGAAGTTAGATTCAATTTGTG